TCATCATAGTTCACCTGGCAACTCCAGACCAAAATAAAATGTATGTTTTTATACCACCAACTTGTTTGGTAGTTTGTTATTCAACAACAAAAATCCTAACCAGCAGCAACAGAAAGGAATCGGAGATGGAGAATACACCACATGTAGAGCTGTTTTTCTCACTCTTGAAAGGAAAACAAAAACAAACCCAAAATAACTTCTTCGACAAGAGAAGAAGAGAAAGAGAGAGGCTGGGACAGGAGCAGGGTCTTCTGCACTACTCTGTCCCCTCCTCTCCCAGGCAGAGTCCCCTCGTGTAGGAGTGGGTGAGGGAAAGGACAGTGCCACACTCTCAGAAAGCAGAAGGAAACAGGCTTTGCTTTCAGGGTCGTCGAGGGCATTCGAGAGACGCCCTGGACTCTGAAAGGTCACGGGATCACCGCCACGGAGCCAGCACACCCAGAGGGCCTCAGGATGGAGGAGCCTGTGTGGACAAGTGACCCAGTAACAAACGGCAAGGAGGCCCCCTCCCTGCAACTCCTACCGCCACCCCACTTCAACCAACACGTCACTACACACCTGCCCATGCCCCAGGAGAGGGGTCAAGGCAGCCCCTGCCCTTATTGGGATTAATTTCCCCCATTTAGTGAGACGTGTCTAAGATAAAACTCACTTCAGGCACTGGAAATAATGACATGTACGTTTCTAGCCCACCTGAGTTAAGAGATTAAAATTTCTACCCGCTACAGCCATAAACCATTCGGTACCGCTCTGGTGTTGATGTATTTAAATTTGAAAACTTACGTTTTTGTACATTAATACTAATACCCCTCAACTCCATTTCATATGCCACGTTCAGACTTCCACCAATCAGCTAAGAGACCGTTTCTAGCAGTTCCTCGGGCATTGCCATGTCAACTGATTAGGGAGCAAGCATTCTGGAGCGAGACTGCCAACATTTGCTGCCTAATGGCTGTGTGTCCATGAGCAAGTTACTTAACCTCCCTGGACCCCCCTTCTTTATCTATAAACTACCAATTACAGTCATAATATCTACCCCATACCATTGCTGTGAGGCTAAGGTTAATATGAGTATGTTTTTATAAGTTTCAGCCACCATGCACTTACTCGGAGATCGCATTTGATGCGTACTATTTTATAAAAAGCTGCAGAAAGTAGAAAGGTTGAGGCATAATCACTAAACTGTGACAAAGATCAGAAATCAGGTGGGAAGTCTTTATTCTCAAATGAACGCCCTTTGGATTGCCAACTGCAGGTTCAATGGTTAAAGAAAAGAACCAGATTCAGGGAAAACATACAAAATCTGGAGATGCACCCTAACAGACTCAATGAGTGCCCCACCATATCCCCTCAGCGTCAATAACTTCCATGTACTCCAGCCTGGCTTCCCCCCTACATGCATTCAAATTTTTGTCTCAGGTGTTACTTTTGGGGAAACCCAAACTCAGACACATGTTATTCAAGACTGTGTCTAAACAGTTAGGCATATTCAGTGATCTAATAATGTGTTTAAAATGGTGGGGGGGGAGGGGAATCGCCGATATTAACATCTTTTCCAACTTTAAAAGTTTAGGGGTGCCTGGGTGGCTCAACTGTTTAAGCATCTGACTCTGGATTGTGGTTCAAGTCATGATCTTGCAGTTCATCTTATCAAGAGCCATGTCAGGCTCTGCGCTGACAGCTCAGAGCCTGCTTGGGATGCTTCCTCTCCCTCTCTCTCTGCCCTTCCCCTTCCCCACCGGCACATGAGCTCTGTCTCTCTCTCTCTCAGATAAATAAATAAACTTTCAAAGCTGTTGTTAGTTTTAGGGGCGCCGGGGTGGCTCAGTCGGTTAAGCGTCCCACTTCAGCTCAGGTCATGATCTCACCGTCTGTGAGTTCGAACCCCATGTTAGGCTCGGTGCTGACAGCTCAGAGCCTGGAAACTGCTTCGGATTCTGTGTGTGTGTGTCTGTCTCTCTGCCCCTCCCCCTCTCGCACTCTGTCTCTCTCTCAAAAATCATTAAACATTTAAAAAAAAATTAAAGCTATTGTTTTTTCCAAATAAGCTATTGTCTCAGCTTCAAACATTTGAAATTTGGGAGGATTTCTGGAACGCTCCTGTGTGTGAAAGTCGAGGACTATCTGTGATTCAGTCACTCCTTCTCTTGATGAACTTTGGGTTATTTTCAACTGCTGCTAGCACAAACAATGCTTCAACTAACATCTCTGGCAAAATCTGTGCGTACATCGTGGATTCTCTCGGAAGCACAAATCCCCGAGAGCAGCATTACACGGCCTCAAAGGATGTGCATCCCCCTCGCCGAGCTCCTCCTTTGAAAGGCTCTCCTAGTTTGCCCTCTACCCCTTCCCTAGGTCTGGCTTCAGAAGTCTTTCTCAACTCCCATTTTCTGCTCATCTGTGACGATGCAGACATGGCCTTTGGCCTTGGCCACGACCTCTGCAGGGCGGGTGAGTTGCAGGCAGGGAGCTGAGGCACTGTGGACACCAGGCAGGGGCAGGGCTGTGGGTCCAGTGTCAGGGTTAAGAGACGGAGATGAGAGGAGTCAGGGTCTAGGTCAAGGCTGGCCCAGGGAGCAGGGCCAGAACTACTTGAGAACTGAAACTTTTTTTTTTTTTTTTTAATGTTTTGACTTATTTCTGAGGGGGAGAGAGAGACAGCATGAGCGGGGGAGGGTCAGAGAGAGGGAGACACAGAATCTGAAGCAGGCTCCAGGCTCTGAGCTAGCTGTCAGCACAGAGCCCGACGCGGGGCTCGAACCCCCAAACCGTGAGATCATGACCTGAGCCGAAGTTGGATGCCCAACCGACTGAGCCACCCAGGCGCCCGGAGAACTGAAACTTTATGCAGGGTCGTAGAGGGTGAGGCCTCGCCGCACAGAGGGCGGCTGTGAACGCTGCCTCACGTGGAGATGATAACAGTGATCTAGCAGGGTTTTGAGAAGATGAAACAGACTGAGACACGTAAAATGGCTTGTCACCATCCTTGGGACCTATAAAGTGCTCAATACATGTAGATCTGATCATTACGTTCCCTGGAAATTATTTTCAATCTGTTTCAGGGAAATATGAATTGATTCAACCGTTAATTATGTCCCCCATGGTAAGTATTTAAAAATGACTTCTGAAGGGTCCTAATTTAAGAACATGGGGGGGAAAAAGTGTTTCATTACTAATGCAGTACCAAATGGAGGATGGTAGACTGATAAGAAGTTATGCTAATTGGGAAGGCTCTGTGAGCCAGGGCAGGGACCTGCATGGCCCATAGGATACCTTCATGCAAATTAGGAAAAGATGCCCCATTTTCAGGTTAAAAAAGAAAGGTGGAGAGAGTAGATTTCTGCATAACCTAAACAGCTCTGTGGGCCATACAGCAGTGCTCTCTCCATGGACACATATCACAGAGTCACCCTTGCGGCTGGCAGCACACACAGGCAACCCCACCCTTCGTGAGGCAAGTTCAAAGTCTCAGGGACCTGCAAATCAGGCACTAACAGGCAGCTAGAGTGCAGGCATTATAGGATGCACACATGTATGCCAAGTTAATGCACAGGTCCAAGTGCCATTGTGAATTTAGGTCAAAAGTAACTCTCCCCTGCTACCTATCTGGCGACCTGGAGTCCCTGTACCATCTGGTGTGCACTCACATAAGTTAATGTAAATCTACCATGTGCGAGATGGCCTTAGGTGTAATGCCCTTGAGCAGTGCACTTCATGAATTCCCGAACATAGGCCACAAGGCACTATCCTTTCAAAGTCTACACCACCAGTTGGTGGTAGGCTGCTGCTACTCAAAATCTGCTCTGTGTAAGCTTGGGGATGGAGCAGACTTCAGGGATTCAGGCAGGGAGGGGCTAGGGAGGCCAAATTCAACCCAGGCCTCTGCCACCTCTTGAGGTAGGTCTCTGGGCTCAGACCTGCCAATTAAAGGCCTGGAAGATGAAAGAGGAAGGCTTTGGTAAGCGGCTGGGCCAGATGAAAGCCAAACCCAACTGGTGTTTTACAGCCTCCTAAAGGGAGGATTTCTCGGCGTGTCTGGCATTTTGCCGTGAGCATTTTTGCCACAAAACTCATTTGCTGGAAGGCAATTCTACCAGAGAAGATAAAATAATGAAACCTAAAAGAGGGACATGTAAAAGGATATAATGAGGGGCACCTGCGTGGCTCAGTCACTTGACCATCTGAATTTGGCTAAAGTCATGATTTCGCAGTTTGTGGCTTTGAGCTCCGCATCGGGCTCTGTGCTGATGGCTCAGAGCCTGGAGCCTATTTCGGATTCTGCATCTCCCTCTCTCTCTGCCCCTCCCCCACTCATGCTCGCTCACTCTCTCAAAAATGAATAAACGTTAAAAAAAATTTTAAAGATACAATAAAATATGAAAAACATTTATAAAATTCATGATTAATTTCTTCTTTCATTAACAGAGGTATCAGTTTTGCAAACACTAGGATGCGACTTGCACTGTGTGGTGAAAACTGCTGCCCGTTCTGGGCATGGGGAAGAAAGGCTAAGACTCTAATGCACTTGTACCTGAGCTTTGCTATCGTGGGGACTGGTACGTTCTCCCTGTCCTGCAGAGCTTAGTGCACAGTCTGGCCTTTTACTTTCTATTTCACGCCTCCAGGAAGGCTTATCACCGAATCTTCTATCAAAGTAATCTCTGTAGTTGTTACCATCCACCGTTTTAAGACCGCCCATCTACTGGTCACAGTAAGCCCATTGTTAAGGCTTGCTGCGATTCACATACAGCAGTCCCCCCTCATCCGTGTGGTCCAAGACATGGTCCAACACACACCCCCCAGTGGATGCTTGAAATGGCAAGTGGTACTGAACCCTAGATGTACTGTTTTTTCCTAGACATACACACCTAGGATAAACTTTAACTCCTAAGTTAGGCACAGTAAGAGATTAACAATAATAAAATAGAATTATAACAATATGCTGTCATAAAGATTATGCGAAGTGTGTTTCTCAAAATATCTTATTGTCCTGTACTCACCCTTCTTCCTGTGCTGATGGCAGATGATAAGACGCCTACGTGATGAGATGAAATGAAGTAAATGACCTAGGCAGCATGACCCAGGGGGCTGCTATTGACCTTCTGGCCACATGTCAGAAGGAGGATCATCTGCTCTCAGAGCAGGGCTGGCCACAGGTAACGGAAACCCCAGAGCGCAAAGAGAGGATAAGGAGGGTCTACTGTAACCTTTGTCAATGGAGAAATAAAATGCAACTGACAACTAGCTTCAATACATACTCCGCCGAAGGCAGTGGATTCATCAACAGGGGAATGTAACCAGCCAGCCAATTATTTTCTTTTACTGCAAAACTGCCTTAGAGTTGATTAGTTATGCCGTGAAAACGCCTGTGCTCAAGATGTTTACAACGAAACTACCTCGAGCTGATTCTAGGTGCTGCTCATTATGCCCAATCAAGAGCTTGTACTACAAAACCCTGGAAAGACTCTTACAGAGGCTTTCCCTCCATTCTTCTGACAAATCCACTCTCTCATGGATCCTTCTCCTGGCCTCACCAGCAGGCCTCCCAGAGGGCAAGCTAATTGCCCCCAGATTCTGGCAACAGCCCCACCCACTCCTGCACCTGACCCTGCATACCTGCCCCTCCCCGGCAGGAGCCCTGGAGCCCAAGCTCTGCATCCCACCAGAGCCTGAGACAGAAAGGAGGGGCATGACGGGTGGGGGGTGCCCATGGCTGGGGGGATGGCAGACTGACGGGCTCCGGCCAGCCTGTCCTGCCCCCTGAACTCAGCAGCCTGGCTCACCACTGCACAGAAAGGAGAGGAATTGCCCATCCCACGCACCATGTTTATTTCCTTAGTATCTATCTCCCCCGATACGAACGTAACTCCCAGAGGAAGGGTTTATGTCAGTACCCTATTGCTGCTGTCACAAGTTCCCACAAACTTACTGGCTTAAAACAACACAGACTTATTTTCCTATGGTCCTGGAGGGCGTAGGGCTCGTTGGCTAAACTCAGGGGCAGAGCTGCATTCTTCTCTGGAGGCTCCAGCGGGGAATCCGGCTACCTCCCTTTTCCAGCTTCCACAGGCCACACACACTCCTTGGCCAGCGGCCCTCTTCCATCTTCAAAGCCCGAAATCACATCACTCTGACCCTCTCTTCGCCCTCACACGTCTTCCTCTGCCTCTCACCTTCCTCCTCTACTCAGAAGGACCCTCCTGATTACGTTGAGCACCCGCCCCCTCATTACCCAAGATAATCTCCCTATCTCCTGGCCAGCTGGTCGGAAACCTTAACTCCCCTCTGCATGTAGCACAGACTATGTACGGGTTCTGGGATTAGAATGGGGAGGGGGGGAATGGGGGGACATCGTTCTACCTACCACAGGGTTTATCTCTTGTTCACCATTGTATTCCTAGCGCCTGAACAGTATCTGACACATAGCAGGCCCTCAATAAATATTTGCTGAATGAATAAGTGAATGAATACATGAATAACTTACTAAGAATAGTATTTAATTCATAGCAAACGTTTAAGCATGCTTATTAAGTGCTTGGCACAACACACAATGCCTTATGTGTATTAACTCATTGGATCCCCAACAGCTCTATGAGGTGTGTTTTATTATTCCCTGCCTTCTACAGCTGAGGGGGTTAAGGCATAGGTGTGTAGGTGGCCCTAGTCTATACAGCAAGTGAGTGGTAAAGCCAGGATTTGATCTCAGGTTTACTGAGCACTTCCTGTGTCCCCGGGCCTGGCTGGGCATGTTACATTTCGGATCTCATTTCATCCTCATGAGAGGCCATGAGGAAAATGGGCAGAATGTGAAGCCTGGTCTTAACGGGGCTGGAATTAAGTCACCGGCTGAGCTGAGGGATTCTGAGAGGTTCTGTGGGGGCAATGGATTGCTTACTGCTCCTTGAGCCGCCTCTGATGCCAATCAGATGAGGGCCTTGTGGGCGTCCATGTTCCAGATACAGGGCTCCTGCCTTGACTCTATACTGCTAGTAGCCAGGCCCCTGGCAGGCCTGTAGCAGACCATGACCTTCACCAGACAGGCCTGGCTGCTCTGTGTGCTGGAGGCCCTGTTCTCCCTCAAGGGACAGGAGCCTGCTTCAAACCTCATCCACGGGAGCTTGGGTGACTCTGTGGGTTGTGCACCTGACTTAGGATCAGGGCATGATCTCACAGCTCGTGAGTTCGAGCCCCGCGTCAGGCTCTGTGCTGACAGCTGAGAGCCTAGAGCCAGCTTTGGATTCCAAGTCTTCCTCTCTCTCTGATGATCCTCCCCGGTTCGCTCTCGCTCTCTCTCGCTCTCTCTCTCTCTCAAAAATAAATACACATTAAAAAAAAAATTCTCATCCAGAGCTGAAGTCGCATTGCCCATCCCCCTGATGATAACTCTGGGGACCCCCTAGCTGGGCCCCATACCTCTTTTGCATGGGCTGGAGCTACTCGCTGCCTGCGCACTGGCCTTCCCGAGCCCCCTCTGATTTACCCCGCCAGCCTGTTCTTGAGCACACAGGCCTGCAGGAAGCCCCCAGGCCTTCAAGCCCCACCCTGCAGAAAGGACGCTGCTTGGACAAGGAGATGGTGCTCCCCCCTCACTTGCACCTTAACCTTTGCAGTCAAAGCCAAGAAAAGCAAAACTCACTTGTGCCTGCCAGCACAGTGGGGCAACGCATTTTCTGTTCCCGCCAGCACATTTTTCTAGGTCAATGTCAGATCAGGGAAATCCAATACCACATGTCCCAACTTTTTATTTGAAAATAGAGAAGTTGCTTTCCAAAATAAATAGTGTTTACAAGCAGAGGCTGGAGAAGCCTCCATCAGAAACGGACTCGGTGGCCAGGCAGGACGCAATCTTCCTGGCTCAGTTGCTGTAAACCCAATGCCGGCCCCAGCTCCAGCCCTAGCAGAGGCCGGATTAGGGGAGCACACATGCAAATACACACGTGTGTTGAGGTTTGCCCGCATGTGTGCATACATGTGCATTTGCATAGATGTACATAAGCATGTTTCCTTAAGGGGCCCTGGGTATGATTAGCATGCACATGTGAGTTAGAGAGCTATATGCATGTACTTGTGGGGGAGGGGTCTACAGGCATGTGCACTTGGGGAGAGGGGTTCCTGCCCTGTGAATCTGCACCCAGCCCTGCTTCTCAGACCCCTAGTCCAGTCTGGAATCCCCTCCCTCCTCCGCTCACTGCTGCATCCAGCCTCAGCCTCAGCCTGTTCTTTTTCTCAGCTGGCTGAGGCGCTGGGGCTCAGGTCTGGACATGCTGTGAATGCATTTCCTCCATCCTGCTCCCTCTCACTACCCACCCTCTGCCCACGGCCACCTGGACTGCCGGTACAAGCCAGCTGAGTGCCCTTTCTGCTGCACATGTATGTTAAGGGCTCTCAGTAAAGGTTCCTGGTGTCGCATCTCCCTGACAGGCACCTTGACTTCAGGACCTCCCTGGTGGACCCACCTACTGGTGCCGGCAGCTCAGGCTTCCCCAGCCTCTGCCTGGATCTTAGTGCAAAGCGCCACCTGCCCAGCGACCACCTGCTTCAAGCAACTCAACCAGGCTTCCAAGAGCTGCATAATTTTCTTAGCAAACTCTCCTGGTTCCCCCTCCGCAGAAACCATTCGCACAGTAACGCAGGCCACTCCGTACCCACCTCGGCTTCTGCCCTTGCTCACGGCGTCCCTCCGCCCCAGCACCATTCTCCAGGCGGCTCTGCCCGTCCCATCCGATGCGCCCTTGCAGACCAGATCTCGTCTCACCCCTCCCTCTATGAGGCCTCTCCCATAAACCTCCTGTCCTACAAATGGCCTTCCCCGGTGGGCTCTGGATCGCTGCATGACACGCGGCCCTGTGTATTGCCTCAGAACTGTCTGCAGGTTGCTTCACGCACTGATCTTGCCCTCCAACCTAGATTGCAATCTCCTTCTAGAAGTAAGCCCGGTGCTCCCTTTGAATAAACCGTGGAACCTGACACAGGTCTGAACATAGTATAGACCAGAGATAAGGGCTTCTGTGGGTTGAGCGGATGCAAGAGTGGATGCAAGAAGACAGAGTCGGGGTGGGGTGGTCAGGCCCTAAAACTGCATGCCAGGCATTGCATCTGGTGACTCCTCTGCCCTACCTCACTTAATCCTCCCAGTAACAGGGCAGCAGGGTGGCATGGTCCCCATGGCATAGATGAGAAAACAGAGGATGACAGACATGAAGTGAAGGCCACAAAACCAGTAAATGGCAAAGTCAGGGGTTAATCCTAGGTCTGCCTGACTCCATTTCTCTATCCCTTTTGCCACAACCACAGCAGTTGGAAGGTAGCATGCTACAGCCACAAGCTTTCTTTCTTTTTTTTTAATTTTTTTTTAATGTTTTTATTTATTTCTAGGAGAGAGAGAGACAGACAGTGTGAGCAGGGGAGGGTCAGAGAGAGAGGGAGTCACAGACTGAAACAGGCTCCAGGCTCCGAGCTGGCAGTCAGCACAGAGCCCGACGCGGGGCTTGAACCATGAACCGCGAGATCATGACCTAAGCGACGAAAGTCGGACGCTTAACCGACTAAGCCACCCAGGCGCCCCAAAAGCTTTCTGAAATCCTAGAGCACACCTTCTCCAGAAGAGGTTAGAATAAGTTCTAGATCAGCGCTATCCAACAGAACTTCCAGCAATGATGGGAATATCCGTTTCTACATTGTCTGACATGGGAGCTGCTAGTCACGGTGGAGATTTCAATTTTTTTTTAAATTGCAAGTCATTTAAATTTAAATAGTCACCTGTGACTAGTGGTTAGTGTCCCTACTAGACAGCAGAGCCTAAGATAAGTGCTTCCCAATCATGTTCATTCCAAGTAAATACAGGTTTGCTGTCCAATAGTAGAACGTTCTTATGAAACCTTTCCTAAGCCAAAATGGTGTAAAGCAAAGAAGCCATTACGATTAATTTACACGTTCAGGCCCAAATAATAACCTCTCTTATATCTTAGGACATATCTCGCTAGTGGATACACAAAATGCATGCAGACAAAACACAGATGCTCACAGACACAGTTCAAGGCTGTGGCAGCCCGGTGTGGAGATGCTGAACGTAGTTCCCGGGGAAGGAGTTTGGCAAGGCTGCTCTCTCTGCTTGGGGTTCCCACTGCCTCTCTAACGGCTCGCTGCAAAACAAATGCCGAACGCTATTTTTGCCTCTTGCCTCTTCTCATAAAAGCCCAAATCCTCTTGGCATCTGTTGCAGCAGGTGAACACAGGCATTAACATAGGTCTCACATAAAAGCTGAGTGGTGTAAGGTGAACTTTTGGGAAGTAGATATACCTATGCAGAAAATACTAGAAAATCATAATAACTGTGCAATGAATGAGGCTGCTTCTTGGCACAGGCAACTGGCTCAAGGGGTCCCACCCTCCTGGTTCCACCAGCCACCCCACGGGTCAGGACCCTGAGAGTCAACATCTCAATACACTTGTAACGCATTTCAGGCACATCAGCTCCTCATGATGGTCAAGTTCTCTGCCAGCTCCCAGTCCAGGACGTGGAAATCTTTGTGATCATGAGAAATCCCAGCATAGGAAATACACAGACCTTGTCACTCCTTGCCTGGCCTTCTGTCCCCCGTTCCCCGCACAGGCTGGTCGGGGGCTGGGGTACAAAGAGTGGCTCAGAGCCCAGCCTGACGGAGCACGGGGCCCCTGTAACGAGCAGGACCTTCCTGGCCTTCCCTGCCGAGGAGCCTGTGGCCCCATAGCTGTTGGAGGGCGGTGCGCTGTCACAGTAACAGAACCTAAGGGGGGCTCTGGCCCTGTGGAGGGGAGCCCAGAACCCACCAGGCCCTTCTTCGGCACTTTGGCGCCACCTCCTGGGCAATCGCAGAGTGACAGTGCATACAAGCTTGCCAGGAGGAACCTGGCCTGAGGGGACCGCTGACTGGCCAGCGGCGGGGGCTGTCAGAGGCTTCCCAGGTCCCACCGAGCTGGGCCAACGGGGAATGCCGGGCCGCCTGCCTGGGCCTCCTAGGACACTTTGCTGCAGGGAAAGGGCTCTTAGGGAAGGAAGGGAGGGAAGCATTATCCGGCAGCACTGGGGGAGGGGCAGAGGAGGCTGCTCTTATGCTGTTCCCGTCTGGAATGGGAACATTCCAGAATCCAGGACCTCGTTCACACCTCCATCATCACACTGTGGCAGACCCTAGATATGCAGGGAGCAGCCAAACAGGAGTTTGGTGGTGGCCGTAACAGGGTGACTGTGGGAAATGGTGATGAAGGATGTGATGTCTGGCTGGTCTCCGGGGGTAAGGGCTGGCCGCACATAGGGAGGTGAAGGGGAGCATCCTGGGGACCAAGGCCCGGGTGTGAGGGGAGGGTGGCTGGCTGGGGGGTGGCTCGGGGTGGCCAGAAAGGGGAGACTGTGTATGGGGAAGGGGGCCGGAGCAGAAACAGCTGGGTGTGAGGCTGAAGGGGTCCAGTTCACCCAGGGCTTTGTTTTGTGCACCCCCCACCCCATCCAGCAGACCCCGAGTCAAACCCCCAGGGGCTTCTGAGCTTGAGGGCTTTGATCTAAAGCTATGCATGACAGGTCCAGAGCTGCCAGCAAACGCAGCAGATGGACGCTGGCTACGTGGTTTGGTGGTAAACACGGGTGCAGGGAAGGGACGGGAGAGCCCATGATGGGAGTGAAGAGACTCTGCCACTGACTAGTTCCACGACCTGGCAACTTTCCTCCTCTCTGGGCCTCAGTTTCCCCATCGATAAACTGCAAGGATAGACTGATGGTCTCCATCAACTCCAGCATAACTGGTCTAGGTCCTGAAGTACAGAGGAAATGAGATACGGAGACATTTGTGCTGTGAAGCATGTCCATCTGGCGGGGGAGGGGGGGGAGGGGGGCGGGGAGACGTTATATGCAGACGCTGAGGCAGGGGCTCCTTAAACTGACCAAGTCTTGAGTTCTGGCCCCGGGAGAGCTGGGGCCCTCACAGAGGGTGTACACCCGCCTGAGCCAAGAGGCTCATGGGGTTCGGACTTCAGCCTCCCACAGTTTCTCCACAGCACCAAGGTGCTCAGGCGGAGCCCAGGCTCTGTCTTGCTCAGCATGTTCGAGAAGCCCAGAAAAGAGGGAAGAGGCCCTCAGACAAGGCCAGCGAACCCTTCATGGGAGCTGCAGCCAGCGACTGGCGTCTGGGTGAAGAAGTCGGACGGCTTCTAGCAATCTTCAGGAAGCAGGGATGGGCAGACGTGACCGGGATCACTGGCTCCCCTCTGGTTGGAGAGCACTTCCTGCGTGTCCACGAGCCCTCACAGGCCTGCCCTGAGCGGGGCCTCCCAACAACCCCTGAAGGAGGCAGAGAGGGCAAGGCATGGTTGGGCCACATTTTGTGATTGTAAAACTTCCCTCCAGGAAGAAGCATCAGAGGTCAGTAGTCCGGCCCCATATTTCATAGCAAAGGACAGTAAGACCCACATTAGGGAGTGACTTGCACTGGGCCACAGGGTACCTTGGTGACTCCGCGACAGAGAAGAGACCCCAGATGTCCTTAGGAACAGGGCCTGTGGTATGCAGCCAGTGTAAAATAAACACCGAATTGTCAACGACTTTAGTATGGGGGGTGGGGGGAAGATAAAACATCTCACTACTGATTTTTATTAAAATTTTTTTTAATGTTTATTTATTTTTGAGAGAGACAGAGGGTGAGCAAGGCAGGGGCAGAGAGAGCCGGAGCACAGAATCCGAAACAAGCTCCGGGCTCCCAGCTGTCAGTAAAGAGCCCAACCGAAGTGGGGCTAGAACTTGCAAAGTGAGAGATCATGACCTGACCAGAAGTCGGATGCTTAACCGACTGAGCCTCCCAGGTGCCCCTGCTTTTTGTTTTAATTACATGTTCAAATGACAAGATGTTGATATATTGGGTTAAATAAAATATATTATTCAAAGTAATTGCACCTGTTTCTTTGGACTTTTTTCAAGGCGACGACTAGGAAACGGTAGCTCAAGGACGGGGTTCGCGTCCGAGGCAGGAGGTGTATCTGTGTGAGACAGAGCGGCTCAGGCTGTCAGCTCCGACGCTGGCCAATCCCAGCTCCTGGTTGTCACCCCTTGTCTAGTCCACTGAGTGGAAGAGGGTGGGGACAGACATGGGAAACTTTGAGGACTTTCCATGTGCCAGGCACTGGGCGAAGTCCCGTACATTCCTTTTTATCTTCCCCACCACCCTGTGCCAGGGCTGGGAGGCAGTGAGAGAGGCAAAGTGCAGGAGGGCTCACTCAGGACCCCCAGAGTGGGGTCAGGGTGAGGTCAAGGTGAGGGGTGGAATCCTTTTGTCCTCACATGCGTCCTGAGTTTCTGGACAGGGGATACCACTTCTTGCCCTCCCTCCATCTAATTCCTTGTGTACGGTCTTCGCACCCCAGCCTCACACACGTCAGCTGTGAAATTTTGTCCCCTCTCCTCTCAGGCCCTGCCCTCCTTTTCCGGACGCAGACACTGTCCCATGAGGCACACCTGGCAACAAGCACACCCTGGCCGGGCGGTGTGGCAGCTTTCCGAGAAGGGCTGCAAAGTGAGGCAGCTGGGCCTGCTGCTGGGCAGGAGCCTGGGCTCGAACACAGGCCGCTTCCCAATGAATTGAGAATCCCCATTTCCAGGGGCTTCACCCTGGAGGAGAGAGCCTTTAGCTGTGGGAACAGCCCGGCCCTTCTCGGGAAAGTGGCCGCGGGAACCACAAGGTGGCGCTATTCCCACAACACTCCACGTGCTCCTCAAGGCCTCAGCGTTTGGAAAAAGGCTTTCCCTGGACCGGTTGTTGAATTTCTTCCTCAACCTTCAG